CACAAAGACGACCAGGACTTAGGAGTCCTGGTCACAGGCTGAGGCTGCTCAGCTGCTGTGGATGCAGTTATATACACAGTCACATGAGGCCCCAAAACCCAACTGCTGCTTCTACCTGTTCAGGCCTCTGAATGAGAGCCTGAACAGGTGGATGGGGCCATGGCCAGGAGGAGCTGGGGCCCCTCACTGTCAACATGTCAATGCTGATGGAAGGATCCTGCTCACAAAACACCCCATCGTAAGACCAGGCAAAAGATCTGGTTCCTGCACCCACACAAGCAGTTCTGTCTTCCTTTGTGAGACAGGAGAGGGTGGCCTGGCAGAGAGCCCCTCCTAGCTGGTGAGCTGGGAGAATTCCCACAACTATGAGGCACTTGAAGAGCAGAGACCATCTCACTTCCTCAGGATGTTCTGGGCGAAGGCAGAGAAGAGTTGATAGGAAAACTCCACCTCGTCACACCTACTTGTCCCTTGAAATGTGGAATTTTTAAAATTTGGGGCCCATGAGACCTCACTGTACAAGTAAGGAAGTCTTCTAAATTGTACCATTGGTTATCATCAAAGTAGGAGTAGGACACATCTTGCCTTTCTCTTTTTTGTACTAGACTGTTGCCTGAGGCCGGGCTTGGTGGCTCAGCCTACAATCCCAGCACTTTGGAAGGCTGAGGTGGGAGGACTGCTTGAGTTGGGGAGTTTGAGACCAGCCTGGGCAATATAGCTAGATCCCATGTCAAAAAAAAAAAAAAAAAGAAAAAGAAAAAGAAATAGACTGTTGCCTGAGAATGCAATACTTTTGAATGAAAGATGCGTCAAACTCACATGGCTACCTCTAGATCACACAACTTTTTTTTCTTTTTGTCCTGAGACAGAATCTTGCTGTGTCGCCCAGGCTGGAGTGCAGTGGCGTGATCTGGCATCACCGCAACCTCCATATCCTGGGTTCAAGCAATTCTCCTGTCTCTGCCTTCTGAGTAGCTGGGATTACAGGCGTGTGCCACCATACCCAGCTAATTTTTTTGTATTTTTAGTAGAGGAGGGTTCACCATGTTGATCAGATTGGTCTCAAACTCCTGACCTCAGGTGATCCACCCGCCTCGGCCTCCCAAACTGCTGGGATTACAGGTGTGCGCCACTGCGCCCGGCCCACACAACCCTTTCTTACACTTTTTAGCCGCGTGGGGAGGGTCAGAGCCCTCTAGCGTTTTCTCACTTACCTCCCTCCTGTGTATTTTTACCCTCCGGCCCAACACCATCGTTGGGTGGACCCCTTGTCTTTGATTTTCCATTCTCTCTGATTGTCATTATGCATCTGGGTATGAAGTTTTGTTACCTGCCCCCCACCCCCAAAGTCTTGCTTTGTCGCCCAGGCTGGAGTGCAGTGACACAATCTAAGCTCACTACAACCTCCGCCTCCCAGGTTCAAGCAATTCTCCTGCCTCAGCCTCCCAAGTAGCTGGGATTACAGACATACACCACCACATCTGTCTGATTTTTGTATTTTTAGTAGAAATAGGGTTTCACCATGTTGGCCAGGCTGGTCTCAGACTCCTGACCTCAGGTGATCCGCCGGCTTTGGCCTCCCAATGTGCTGGGATGACAGGCATGAGCCACCACGCCTGGCCTGGAGTTCTTAACATACACCTTACCTACTAAAGGAGGAAGCGGGAGTAGTGGTGTGGGTTCACAGACATCACCACCGTTGTGAAAGCCTCTGGGTGAAGCCATCACTCTTCTTTCCTCAAAATAGCCTAGGGTGTATATCTTAGGCCATTTGTGCTGCTATCACAAAATGCCTGAGACTGGGCAATTTATAAGAAATCTAAATTTATTTTCTCACAGTTCTGCAGGTTGGGAAGCCCAAGATCAAAGTGCCAGCAGGTTCTGTTGCCTGGAGAGGACTGGAGAGGACCTACTCCCTTGTGTCCCTCAAGAGCAGAGGAACTACTGTGCTCACAGGGCGGAACGGCAAAGCTGAAACACCTGCTGCATGAAGCGTCTTTTATAAGGGCCTTAATCCCATTCACGATGGAGGAGTCCTCACGGCCTAATCACCTCTTAAAGGCCTCGCCTCTTAACACTAGCTCATTGGCATCACCTGGGTTTTGGAAGGGACACGTTCCAACCCTAGCAGTAAATAACAAGCCTTCATCAGTGCCTCTTAAAGGATCTGAAACTATGTAATTACAGCAGGTGGCAGGTGTCTCTAGTGATTCTTATGCGCAAAATGTTTGAGAGCCATGTTGTTCAATTTTTTGTATGATAAAACCATAGTTTTCTCCTTTTTTCCCAATACCTCAATTTCTATCATTTTTAAAAATGAGTATTGAATTCCCAAAACATAGACAGAAATGCTCACCTGCTTATAACCGAACACCTGCCAAAGGTGAACGAAAGTGATTTTTGGGTGACCCACCTCATGGGGTTCCCGCTGTTTTTCTTATCCCTACACCCCCTGGACTGGAGAGCCCAGAGCCGGAGGTCAGTAGAAAAAAGACTGTGTGTCCAATGATGTTAGCTTTGAAGACTCTCATAATCTCTGAGGACTAAAGTTCTGATTGTTTTTATTTTGCCCAAATTCCTATCTAAGGGGTCTGGGGAGTCATGCCCTACAAACCATAAATTCTCATCAGATGGGTTTTATCAACCCTATATATCGTGACTTACTTTCCGATCTGGCATAACGTTATGTGAAAAAGAAATAAGTCAAATATTTTACCCCAAGACATATTTCTTTGCCTTATTTTTGAAATAGTCTTGCAAAGCTGTGCTTTGTGGGAGAAAATTTGCATCTGTAAAGAATCTCTGTTAACAGAGCTAGATCTTTTTCTTCCAGGCCCTCCCAATCCTGAAGAGATTAACTAAAAGTCTAGCACCTTTTAAAGGTCTGAATAGGAAACATTTGTCATCTGTTGTCTCTAAGGGCAGCCACTATAAGACTTCAAAAGAACCTTGATATCCGCAATCTTTTTTTTCCATATTATTATTATTATTATTTTTGAGACACAGTCTCACTCTGTCATTCAGGCTGGAGTGCAGTGATACAATCTTGGCTCACTGCAACCTCTGCCTCCTGGGTTCAAGCGATTCTCCTGCCTCAGCGCCTCCCGAGTAGCTGGGATTACAGGCACCCACCACCATGCCCAGCTAATTTTTGTGCGTTTTAGTAGAAAGGGAGTTTCAACACCATGTTGGTCAGGCTGGTCTAACTCCTGACCTCAGGTGATCCACCAGCCTCGGCTTCCCAAAGTGTTGGGATTATAGGCGTAAGCCACTGAGTGTGGCTACAATCTTTTATCTTAACTTGAACATCTCCTTTTCTATCGATCCCAGGTCTTTAGACAAACTCAACCAATTGTCAACCAGAAAATGTTTAAATTTACCTATAGCCTGGAAGCCCACCCCTCCCCCACCACTCCCGTTTTGAATTTGAATTGTCTCGCCTTTCTGGACCAAACCAACGTATTTCTTAAATGTATTTGATTGATGTCTCCTGCCTCCCTAAACTGTGCTCCATCCACCTTGGGCACATGTTCTCAAGACCTCCTGAGGGCTGTGTCACAGGCCATGGTCACTCATATTTGGCTCAGAATAAATCTCTTCAACTATTTTGCAGAGTTTGACTCTTTTCGTCAACATCTCCAAGGAGCACTCACCCCAGTGCTGCCCATGATGAGAAAGAGGGCAATGTGGAAACGCCCGAAGCCAATGGTCTCCACTGCATCTTCCACGGTGAATGTCTTTGGCTCTAACAACGAAAGAAAAAGTAGAAGAAATTGCTTCTGCAGGGAAGGGAATGCGTGTGGACTATCAGCTTCAGAAAGCCAAACCATTATTATAAAAACAAGTTGATACGGGGGGTCAGTGGTAGTGAAAAGTGAAGCAGCAGGTTGAGCCGGAGACTTCTATGATAATCTTACCTTTAACCTGTGGCTCAGCGGTCCCCAGGCTCAACTTCCGAAGGCTGAGGATTGTGATGGACTCAGTTGGCTTGGTTGCCATCTTCTGAATAGCTCAAGTTCCCCAAACAGCTTCCCTGGTGGAAGCAAGGGAAGGAAGAAGGAAAGAAATATAACGGTTATTGGGTACTTAGTGTATGCCAGGCATACTACACACAAAATTTCCTGAAGCCCTCGCAAAAATCGAATGAGGTATGTATTTTTATCCTGTTTCACACCTGGCCTCTGGAACCAAGCAGCTCAGTGTTTTTTCCCCCTACTACTTTTTATTGATTGATTGATTGAGATGGAGTCTCGCTTTATTGCCCAGGTTGGAGTTCAGTGGTGCAATCTCAGTTCACTACAACCTCCACCTTCTGGATTCAAGTGATTCTAGTGCCTCAGCCTCTCGAGTAGCTGGGATTACAGGCACACATCACCACGCCCGGCTAATTTTTTTGTATATTTTGTAGAGATGGGGGTGTCACCATGTTCTCCAGGCTGGTCTCGAACTCCTGACCTCAGGTGATCCGCCCACCTCGTCTTCCCAAAGTGCTGGGATTATAGGTGTGAACCACTGTGCCCAGCCTTCTCTACTACTTTGTAGGTATGTGGCTTTGAGGAATTTGCCCTTTGTACACCTCAGTTTCCTCAAATGGGTTTCCTAAAATGGGGATGATATAATAATGGCACCCAACTTTCAAGGTGGTTGTGATGATTAAATGAGTTAGTTCACAGAAAGCACTTACCCCATAGTACTGGCAAGTACTGATGTGCTTGATAAATGGAAGCTGTTACTATTATTACTGTATACTAGGGATGCATTTGTCACTAGTTGTTATCCTGAACACTTTACATACATGAATTATTCCCGCTAATCTTCACAGAAGATCTGTAAAGTATTATAATTTATCACTGTCTGGCATGTAAGGAATCTGAGACATGGAGAGACTAAATGGCTAAATTAGATAATTGAGCTAAATTAAGAGGCCAGATGAGACAATCAGAACTCTGAGGCCAGTAACCAACCTTCCGCCTGGGGCCAGACGCAGGTCTTGGCAATTTAACCAATAGCATCCTCTGAGTGGGAGGGAAGAAGGCTTTGCTACAGAAAAACAATCACAAAGCAGCACTTCACACTTCCGCAGATCCTGTGTTTCCAGGGTGCTTTCTTGCATGTCATTGTCATTTAATTCTGACAGAAACTGATGAAGTGCTTTTTTTTTTTTTTTTTTTTTTTTTTTGAGACCGAGTCTTGCCCTGTCACCCAGGCTGGAGTGCAGTGGCACAATCTGGGCTCACTGCAACCTCTGCCTACCGGTTCAAGCAATTCTCCTCCCTCAGCCTCCTGAGTAGCTGAGATTACACACACCCACCTCCACGCTGGGCTAATTTTTGTATTTTTAGTAGAGACGGGGTTTCACCATGTTGGCCAGGCAGATCCCAAACTCCTGACCTCAAGTGATCCGCCTGCCTCCGCCTCCCAAAGTATTGGGAATACTGGCGAGCCACCATGCGCGGCTGCTGCTTTTTACCTCACCTTTTTGCATTTAACCCTAAAAAGGATTCTTAACTCTAAAAGTCAAAAGAAAACTAAGACAAGATGGGTATCAAGTTAGTGGCTTAAACAGACTTTTTTTTCAAATAACTTTAAGACATAGTAATTTAATTGTACATTGCTAGTGGGATAAACAGAAAGCCTAAACTATTCTTGCTAATGATATTGTTAGTGATAATATTGGTATCATTAGTTGTATATTAGTACATATTTAGGATGAAGAAAGTATATTAATATTGTTAGGAACCCAGGTTTTCATTGTTAAGAGGAAAAAGATAAATATAAAATCAAATTTAGCTATGTAAAAAATGTATAATTCTAATTTGGAACTGGAAGTAGAGATATGAGTTATATAACATAATATTAACAAATATATTAACAAATATAATATATTGACAAATATAATTATTATATAACATATGTAATAAATAAATATAAACAAACCCAGGCACCTCAGGTGCCTAATTTGAACTGGAAATAGAGATATGAAATTATTATATAACATATATATTATTAACAAATGTAATATATTAACAAATATAATTATTATATAACATATATAATAAATAAACATAAACCCAGGCATCTTAGGTAAACGGCTGATTCTGGCTCAGGGACAGGAATTGTACAAACTGAGCCTGGGGCATCTTGTCGTAGCCTATAGCATGGGCAATATCAAAGACCCATGGGGTCGTAATAAAAGATTACAAAATTAAAACTGAGGGATGGGCGCAGTACCTCACACCTGTAATACCAACATTTTGGGAGGCTGAGGCAGGAGGATCATTTGAGGCCAAGAGTTTGAGACCAGCCTGGCCAACACAGCAAAACTCCATCTCTACTAAAAATGCAAAAATTAGTCAGGCGTGGTGAGACTCCATCTCAAAAAAATATATATTAAAATTGAAAAGGTGCCCACTGGCCAAAGATGGGACAATTTGAACATCAAAAAGACTAATGACTGCAAATAATTGAACCATATTAAAGATGTTAAAATCCATTTATTCACAGTAATACTATAATGAAGACCTCATTGATCACCTTTGGAGAATGATAAGAAACAAACCCATTATTCTGAAAGCTAGTAAATATTGTAAATATCTTGACTTTTTTGTACAAATTGTCTGTACATCAGGGTAAACAGTTGATGAGGGAAAATTATTTGTGAATAATAAAGCTAATGTGTGCAGAAAAAAGGATAAAATTAAATTATCACTGTTTTGCACCTTCTAAAACAATAATGGATCCAGGCAACAATCATCACTGGCTGATAAACTATGAAGTGAAAGGCTGATGGCGAACTTTGCTATGAGAGGGATACGGCTGATAACACCTGAGCCCACTGAAAAATCTTAACACCATGGAAACAGAGACAGGCAGATTGCACTGGCTCCTAATGAGATGCAACGGGAAGACGTATACAACATCACCTGTGAAGTATTCTCACAAAGAGAAACTGAACCTGAATCGAATCAAGAATCTAGCTCTAGCTACCAATTTACACAGGAAATAAAGAACATGTTAAACAACACCATGTGGATGCAATAAGAAAAATGCAGAATGCTGGAAGCTGTATAAAATAAATGACCCAGTTTCTTCATTAAGTAAACGGCAAGGGAAAGAAGAGGAAAGGGGAACTTATAGACTAAAATAAAAGAGACACATCAAACCAAAAATGGACCTTGTTTGGATGTTCATTCAAACAAATCAGCTATAAAAAATTTAAAAACAAGTGTGTGGCTTGGCGCAGTGGTTCACCTCTGTAATCCCAATACTTTGGGAAGCCAAGGCAGGCGGATCACCTGAGGTCAGGAGTTCAAGAACAGCCTGACCAACATGGTAAAACCCCATCTCTACTAAAAGTACAAAATTAGCCGAGTGTGATGGTGCATGCCTGTAATCTCAGCTACTTACGAGACTGAGGCACAGGAGTCGCTGGAACCTGGGAGATGACAAGAGCAAAACTCCATCTCAAAAAACAAAACAAAAAAAAAAAGAAAAACAACAATGTGAGAGAGATATACAGACAATATCAGGGAAATTTTAGCAAGTTTGGAAATTTGAAGATATTAAGAAATTACTGATGACCTCATTAGGTGTGACAATGGTATTATGGCTATGGTATAAGAAAGAATCCTTGTATTTTTGAGGTACATACTAAAATATTTGCTAATGAAATGATGATGATGTCTGGGATTTATTTAAAAATAAATAATAAGGTGAGGGCAGCGTGTATAGGAATTACATGGGTGTATAGATGAAAAAAGAATGGTGATCTGTTGAAAATTATTGGAGAAAGATTGTTATCTTCTACTTTTGACTGTGTAGTATTTTCCAAAATAAATAGCTCAAAAAACATGAGGTTCTGAGATTCCTTTTTTTTTTGAAACAGAGTTTCGCTCTTTTGCCCAGGTGGGAGTGCCGTGGTGTGATCTCAGCTCACTGCAACCTCTGACCCCGGGTTCAAGCAATTCTCCTGTCTCAGCCTCCCGAGTAGCTGGGATTACAGGTGCATGCCACAACGCCCGAAAAATTTTTGCATTTTTAGTAGAGATGTGGATTTCTACTCCATGTTGGCCAGGCTGGTCTCGAACTCCTGACCTTAGGTGATCCACCCACCTTGGCCTCCCAAAGTGATAGGATTTCAGGCATGAGCCACTGTGCCTCATGGTTGTGAGATTCTTTTTTTTTTTT